AAACATTTCTACAGCAACAGTATCAACCTCAGGGCTGGGTTTGGGGGTGGGTGCCACAGGGGACTGGATTCCCTGGAGTCTACATAGCTGCCAAAGGTGTCCGTTATGACACACTAAGCTGAGATTAAATTAAATTTTAGAGGAAAACAAAATATCCTGGCATTAGTCTCTGGAGCTGAAAATGAGTTAGACTCTGAAGCAAGCAAGCAAACAGCACCTCAGAGTCCCACCTCTGAAGGAAAAAAGGAGGTCACTCAGAAAATGGGACAAGTGCTAAAAAAAAACCATTTGGTTGCCCAGGACTAGTTAGCTACTTAGCTACTGAAGTGGCAGCAGGTAGTATAAATCAGGAACTGCCTTAATCTACAAAGACTTCAGGTATTCAAGAAAGATGGTATCAGAAAGGCAAAACTGAACAGGCTGAAAGTACATTGAGCTGTCTTCATTTTTACATGGCCCAAAAGTGGGGTGGAGAGTATTTCATGCCTGATTTATAAGATATTAATACAAATTGGTCCAGACTGCCTACACTTGGCACAATGTCTTAAACACACACTTCTCTGGTTCCTTAGGCCTTAGATGAAACTTCAAGCCAAATATCAGCTCTGTGAGTCTGATAAAATCTTATGAAAAATGGCAGCCTTTCAGACCCCTGGGCTCCCTGCACTTTGATGGAGTATTACAAAGAGCAGGTTCCAAGCAAAGACAAGTGCTGCTATAAAACATGCAGGGGCAGCAGGACAGAGGCCTGGTCAGGAGGGAGCATGGCAGTGCAAGCTGCACACAGCACTCGACTTTGCAGGAACTGAGCCACACGCACAGGCAGCAGGCAAGGGCGCTGGACTTTTGTCACAGCTTCCTGTTATGAAGCTGAAACTAAAGAGTCCTATGTCACATTGATCTAGAGAGCAGTTTCTCACCACCTGGCTATTACCAGTTCCTCTCATTCCTGCTGCTTCAAGTTTCCATCACTTGGAACAGCAACAAGAACCCAAAGAAACAGACCCAGGAAATCAGAAGTCTCGGGCTGGGGATGTGGCTCAAGTGGTAGCGCGCTCGCCTGACATGCGTGCGGCCCGGGTTCGATCCTCAGCACCACATACAAACAAAGATGTTGTGTCTGCAGATAACTAAAGAATAAAACATTAAAAATTCTCTCTCTCTCTCTCTCTCCTCTCTCACTCTCTCTTTAAAAAAAATTCCTGCTGAACCGCTCTTCCCTCCTACAGTTCTAACATAACATATACGTCACAAGCCAAGCAATGAAATATAATGGAGGTAACTAAAAATGCTTTTGGTAATTTTAATACCTTGGCACTATATTTCTAAGGTTAACTTAAGGAACCCAGATACAAATTTGTATAGTAAATACAATTTCACATGTGTAACATTATAAATCTAAATTGAAAGACAATACATTCAAATATTAACAGTAGTATAACATCCAAGTATTACTAGTAGTGATAGCAGTATCGGGATGATTTTTGTACTTTTAAAATTAATTTAATTAATTAATATTTTTATGACAGAATGCATTACAATTCTTATTACACATATAGAGCATAATTTTTCATATCTCTGGTTGTATACAAAGTATATTCACATGTCTTCATACATGTACTTTGGATAATAATAATGTCCCTCACATTCCACCATCATTTCTAACTCCACGCCCCTTTCCTTCCCCACCCCCCCTCTGCCCTATCTAGAGTTCATCTATTCCTCCCATGCTCCCTTCACTATGAATCAGTCTCCTTATATCAGAGAAAACATTTGGCACTTAGTTTTTTGGGATTGGCTAACTTCACTTAGCATTATCTTCTCTAACTCCATCCATTTACCTGCAAAAGCCATGATTTTAATCTCTTTTATTGCTGAGTAATATATTCCATTGTGCATATATGCCACATTTTTTTTATCCATTCATCTACTGAAGGGCATCTAGGTTAGTTCCATGTTAGCTATTGTGAATTGTGTGTGAATTGTGCTGCTATTAAACATTGATGTGGCTGTGTCCCTGCAGTGTGCTGTTTTTAAGTCCTTTGGGTAAAGACCAAGGAGAAGGACAGCTGGGTCAAATGGTGGTTCCATTCCCAATTTTCCAAGAAATCTCCATACTGCTTTCCATATACTTTTAAAGCACTGAGAATAGAAAAATGCACAGACTGCTTGCAAATCAAAAAAGCTGTGTCTATTTCTACAAAAGGTCATTTTATAAAATGCAAAAATAGGTGCAGCCAATTTGGAAAGCAGTATGGAGATTTCTTGGAAAGCTGGGAATGGAACCACCATTTGACCCAGCTATTCCCCTTCTCGGTCTATTCCCTAAAGACCTAATAAGAGCATGCTACAGGGACACTACTACATCGATGTTCATAGCAGCACAATTCACTATAGCAAGATTATGGAATCAGCCTAGATGCCCTTCAATAGATGAATGGATAAAAAAAATGGCATTTATACACAATGGAGTATTACTCTGCATTAAAAAATGACAAAATCATAGAATTTGGAGGGAAATGGATGGCATTAGAGCAGATTATGCTAAGTGAAGCTAGTCAATCTTTAAAAAACAAATACCAAATGACCCCTTTGATATAAGGGGAGTAAACAAGGACAGGGTAGGGACGAAGAGCTTGAGAAGAAGATTTACATTAAACAGGGATGAGAGGTGGGAGGGAAAGGGAGTGAGAAGGGAAATCGCATGGAAATGGAAGGTGATCCTCAGGGTTATACAAAATGATATATAAGAGGAAAGGAGGGGTAAGACAAGATAATATAAATGGAAGAAATGATTTACAGTAGAAGGGGTAGAGAGAGAAAAGGGGAGGGGAGGGGAGGGGAGGGGGGATAGTAGAGAATAGGACAGACAGCAGAATACATCAGACACTAGAAAGGCAATATGTCAATCAATGGAAGGGTAACTGATGTGATACAGCAATCTGTATATGGGGTAAAGTTGGGAGTTCATAACCCACTTGAATCAAACTGTGAAATATGATGTATTAAGAACTATGTAATGTTTTGAACGACCAACAATAAAAAAAAAAAAAAGAAAATGAAAAAAAAAATAAATAAAATAAAATGCAAAAATATCAAAGAAAAACAATTTCTGATATTCTTCCACCTTTCATGGCCTGGGGATGACCTCAGCATCCACACATTTGCCCAAGCAGAAACTGGGGTGTCGTCCTTGATACTTTCCTCTTCCTTTGCCTCACACCAAATGATCATCAAGTCTATCCTATAGCCTCAAGAGCCCTTCCGTTTCCACCCCACTGCCCCAGCTTCACATGTCTTCATGGAGGGCTTACTGCCAGTCTCCAAAGCCCATCTCCACCCCATACAGGTGGATCTGGCCTGCTCAGCCCCTTCTGAGGAGGAAAAAGCCTTGCCTTCACCTTCCTGCTAGTCCATTTTTGACATGGGGAAGAGACCTAAGATGAAGCGAAGATGAGAACATGGTACGCTCTCTTTGGAGGAGGATGAACATAGCTGTCTTCCCTGACTTACCTCAAGCTGGTGTGTTCTGCCTCTTCCCACGGCTCCCCAAAGGGGCAGAAATGGGGAGAAAATGAGGTAACCCTGGGCTGAGGGGAGGCATTTCTTGTGATCTACACAAGTCTTACCCACTGAACACCTCTGAGATACACCACTGGACACTTCAAGGATTACGAACCCTCTGAAATGACTGCCTGCCAGGTTGGACTTCTTTTTCCAAATTATCTTAGCACTAAAAAGGGAGGCCTGGCACAGCCGGGCAGGCACTCTTGTCCTCCTGTAGATCACCCCAGCCCGCTCCTGTCCAACCCATTCTCCTCGTGGCAGCCAAAGTAACCTTTCTAAAACACACATCTGATCCTATCACTCTCTGTGAGGACGCTGCCAGCACTCCGGACCCTTGTTCCTATACCTGGCCATGAGACTCTTCCTCACCTGGCTCTTCTCCCTGAGCACTGAACTCACCACTCCCTCTCCTGCCAAGATTCCAGCCCTTTCTACATCCCACTCAACCCACCCCTCCATCTGGCCCACATAACCAACCCTGAGTCTCTCCACGTCTCTCCTGGGCACTGTCACACTGCCAACACACAGTACTGTGCCTGACACGCAGCTGATGCAACCAACATACACTTGTTCAACAACCAACACAAGGAAAGGTAGGTCAACTGATGGGAATATGGAAGCCGCTGAGCCCAGGAGAAAGGAACATAGGTAAACCCAAAGGCTCCAATATGAGTGGCCTTCATTTCATTACCAATCAAAAGAAGTATCACAAAGTGCTTTCAACATTGGTTTTCTGAGACCACAGCAACTCAAGTGTCAGGCGGAATACTTCACATAGTTGAGCTACTTCAAAAGAACCATCATAAATAGAAAGTAATTTCATCAATGGAGGTGAAAGAGGTCATGGAGAGCTCACCTCCCTCAAGTTCTGATCTGCAAATCCCCCCATTTTTCTTCCCCCCAAATCTCAGTAATTTAATAACCCAACTTTATACTCTGTATCCTTTTGCTTTGGAAATGACATTCCTCTATGTTTCTTTTCACTATAAACTAAGAGGTAAAGTGGGGAAGGTTCTGGCATAAAAGAAGAATGCTTTAAGGAGGAAAGAATCAGGGCAGATTATCAAGGGCCATGTTGACCTCGGATGGGTCTAGCTTCTTTTAGACACAAACTGCGCTGGTATGACAGGACAAGTTCAGGCTTCCAGATTTAGGTCTTTTGATCAACAGCTAAAGTTTAAGATTCTGAAATGCTTGAAACTAAGAATAACTCTAAAGGATAAATACTTAGAATGTCTACTTTAACACGATATAAAACAGTTTCCCGTAAGAGTGTCTGGACTTGACCCGTTTCAGGAGGCAAACTCAACCCACGAGTGAGTCTGTTGTGCGTCACTGACACAGCCACACAAAGCCCAGTCCCCACACACCTGTTCAAAACTGACCCCTTCACTCGCCTTGTTGATATTATAACTCTGACTTGTATTTCTTACCGGAATGTAATAGATGCCCATCTTGGGGGTTTCATTGGCAGTGAAAAGCATTCCTAAAAATAAACACACGGGGGAAAGTAAACACACGGGGAAGTAAACACCAGGGGCAGTACCCTTCTCTACTCAGGGTCTCATTCCAAAAGGCCTGCAGCGCTCACTGTGCAGCGTCCAGCAGAAGCACCACGCCTGGAAGCCAGGCTCCCCTGGAGCAGGTCCTGGCTTCAGCTGCTGCCTCTCCTCGACAAAGGACCTCAATCTTCAGAACGGCAACTTCCCCATCTGGGAAACACCAGGCTAACCTAGCTAAATTCACAACAAGTTCTCACCATGAGGTGCTTAGAGTTACACCAAGTTTAGCAAAATGCTCAGTTTCAAACAGATGAATTAAAGGTAGTTTGGTGTACTATTTTATTAGAGTAATAATGAGGAATTAAGAAAAACTTCTTTCTGTAAATTAGAAAGAATGATTAGTTTAGTCTCTGAGGGCTCAGCACTGTCAGCAAGCACGACTGAAGGAAGGCCAGTTTTCTGGAATTCCGTAAATGACTCTCCGTAACACTAGTAGCAGTGACTACCTAAAGAGCCATTATTCTTTGGCTCTAGACTATTTGATACCAGGGTATTCAGATGTCTCAGTTTTGTTATCTTTTCTCTTCTACTTTTCAACACATCCCTCACCTCCCAAGTTTTCTGGGGGGCAGCTCCCCAATGTGGTGAGACACACCTGCTGAGCCTCCTCGTAGCCTCAGTTCCAGACCGCTGCACTCTAAAACTGAACTCAGCAAACACTGGGCTGGTCCAGGATAATATACTGAGCACTCTCACATAGAGTATCTTAGCAAATACACAACTCTCTAAAAAAGAAACATCATCTAGTCCTTTACCAGAAACACTTGAGAAGCATAGAAGCAGTGCCTTGAACAGCTCAGGCTCTGAGAACAAAACTGCACCACAGGGACAGCAGGGATGGGCTCCCCCTGTGTAACTCCTGACTGAAGTGAGCACATGACATCCATGAGTTCAGAGGACACTGCTGTAGGATAAAAAGCTACTTTACGTTTAATAGCATGCGTGGTCTCCAACAGCCCTGTAAAGAAGGCAAGAAAGCTGAGGCTGGGATATTGGTGTAATTATTAACCCTGAAGTAGGTCTTTCTTGAGCCCAAAGCCCATCTTTTGTCTCTGCCAATGGTTTCTCAAATCAATGATCCTTCTTCCAGAGGTCAAGACGGGACTCAGACACACGTAAGCTTTCTAAGCTTCCTGTGTCATGAATTTGATGCACATCAATACCCACTGCCTCTGTAAGTGCCCTGACCTGCACAGAGCAGCTGCTTGACACATGAGAACCGCACAGAGGGCTGAATAAGCAAGAAGAGCGAGCGAGGCAGTAAAAAGAACCAGAAAGGCAGAATCATTTCTCAATATCCTGAGCACCTTACTACTAGAAAAACATTCCAAAACAATCACCATGATTAGGCTTTAATTACTCCAAAATGAGTAAGTGAGCAGATAAAGAAACAAGGAGGTTTTAGCTTTTCAAAAATATGATTAAGCTCATAGTGATTAAGCATAAAACATATGGAGTGGCGCGGAGGGCGAAAGGTGTGGCAGGCAAAGCAAGAAAAAGCAAAGCCTGTGAATCAACCACGCTCAGGCGCAAGCCACTGAGAAGAGGTGAGGGACTCATCTGCCCGCACCTGCCGTCGCACAGAGCCCAGCAATGATTGGGCCAGCTGGTTTATGTCTGATGACTCTTGTAAGTTATCTGACAATACAATGTTCCTCTGTCCAAAATGTCACTTCTAAAAATCTAAGAAAACCATACTTGGTAATAGAGATTCCCGCTAACAAGCGAACCAGCCTCATCCTTACCAATTCGGAGACGGTCAGCTAGCTGCAGACTGACCTCAGCCTGTAGCAGTCTTGCATCATTTTCATCAAAATATTTAAACCTAAACTTCAGCTTTTAGACCTCCCTGTCATTTTAGATAAAAACAGAGTTGGAGGAACTAGTTAAACAACATCTTGAGAATCAATCATACATGTCCAGGAGGGGGACGCTCTACAAGACTGCTGGCCTGATCTTAGAAAGGTCAATGTCATGGAAAAGGGAAAAAGAGATGGGGGAATGATCTGGAGTGAGGTTCTCTCACTACTCTCTGCCACTCTTCAGACTGTCACTCCCTCTCCAGCCAATCCCACTCCTCGCCCCTGTCCTAATCTCAGCTCACCTGCTTCATTCACTTCACACTGAGCCCAGATCCTTTATTTTATTTTGCAGTACTGGGAACTGAATTCAGGACCTCGCAGAGGCCAGGCAAGTGCTTTACCACCAAGCTACCTTTCCAACCCACAGCCCCCATCACTTCAATAACCCAACTAGGGTTGCAGCATTTTCACCTGCAACGTATTTCTGAACTCTCCAGGATGCAACTACCTTCCCACTGTATAAGAGCCTTCAAACTCTCACAGGGGAAATGCAAATAACAAGATCGCTAGCTACATCTCTCTCTCTTAACGTGTTAACCAGGATAAGCCCATTTCAGAAAGATCCTAACCAAAGCCCTGCCACACACCAGCAGGGTAACCAGTCCTGGCAAATTATCCAATTGCTTTGATCTAAGAGGTAAGAAAAAAACGGACAAAAAGAAAAAGTCAGGTGCATAGTGGCACATAGCTATAATCCCAAAATTTGGGAGACTAAGACAGGAGGATCACAAGTTTTTGAGGCCAGCCTCAGCAACTTAGCAAAACCCTAAACTTAGTAAGATTCTGTCTCAAAATTAAAAAATAAAAAGCACTGGGAATGTAGCTCAGTGGTAAAGCGCCCTTGGGTTCAATCCCCAATACCCGCTCCACCAAAAAAAGAAGGAAAGAAAGACTGTGGGTCATTGAATATGTAGGGTTATAAAAATAATAAATTTATATTACAGCATCCAGTATCCAGATTGACAGTATCATAGGATTCAATTAAGTCTCAGTTCTTCCTTTCCTATTCCAACCTCTGTGATACCTATACTTTCTGATCAATGCTCACTGAAACTCTCATGCCTAAAGTTCTTCTGAGCTTCAAAAATTTTAGTTTGTTCAGGGTTACTTGTCCACTCCTATGATGTTTTCTCTGCTGGCTCCTTCTCTCTCTAAACAATCCTCCTGTCTCACTCCAAACATTCCTCTTTGGTGATCTTACTCACTATTGCTTCTTCTGAGATAATCTCTATTTACATGCCTCAAAACTTTCTCTCTGCATACCTGTTCATCTCTGAATAGTTGCTACAGTGCACCAGATGCAGCTCTTTAGTGAAGGTCTGCGGCCGATGCAGAGCTTGGTGCATGAGACACCTGGGAAGGATGTTAAGAACACATTTCTGGGCCCTATCAGTCAGTACAACTAGAAGACACAAAGGCTCTGCAGCTGAAAAGCTCTCCAGGTGACTTTGATGGGCCACCAGGTTTGAGACTCACCAGGCACTCCCATTGTCCCAATACCACCTACACTCAAATGTTAGAAAAGAACCCATAAACTTTCTCTCCACTTGCTGGCTCACCTGTCCTCCCTGTCTCAACTCCAAGCACCACTTCCTGTCATTTTAGTTTTAAATCAATCCACCCTTTACCAAAACAAGTGCTCTGATGACAGACAGACTCCAAGTCACTCAGTATGTCACTTCTAGACCTTCTCCACCTGTTCCCACCTCAAGTCCTCCCAGAGTCACCACAACTCAGGTGTGAAGTCTCCCATCCCCACAGAGGCCCTAGGGGCCCCATCCTCCTTGTTATTCTTTCACAGATTGTATACAATCCCTCAGTGGATCACCGACCCCGTCTCCCTCTAATTCAACCTCACTCACTGCACCAAACTCAATGCCAAACAAAATCTCCTCTAAGGCTCTTCTCTTAGTACTCTGGGTAGAAAGTGTTCCCTCTAACGCGTGTCCACACATACATGACAGAACTCTTTGTGCTCTGCTATGTATACCTGCATTAGAATTATTTGTGTGTGCTCACACCTGGAATATACCACTTCAAGAGTAGAAACTGTTCTCATTCTTCTCTCATACCCCCAAAGTCTTCACATTGCCTTGAATGTATTGTTCAACATGGAAATCTATCATATTGTTTTCTGAACGGCACACAACAGAGAACAAACCCAAACCCCATGGCTTCACGAGCCATATGTGTATTATTAGGCAATTCCAGCCTCCTCCAATCTCTAACCTCAATTTCCACCCACTATTACTAATCACATAAAAGAGTTAAGGAACACACCAAAATAGCATTTCACCTGCCGCCTACCTAAATATTGTTACTAGTTTCTACTAATAGCTAGGTGGGATGAGGACTGAGTCATTAAAAGTACCTTCTTCTGAATCATGCATATCACTTCCTGTTCTTTATTCTTCCAAATAAAATACCCAATACAAGTCAAACTCTATCTTAAGAAGTAAAATTAGTTTAAAGCTAAAAAATGTAAAGCCAACATTTGTCTCACCAAACATTGTGTGCTACATTATACATACCTGAGTTGGGATACAGGCAAACATCATTAAGGTCATGTTCTGGTTCCAAGGAAGTAAATATTTTCCCCTAAAACAGTAAGCAAAGAAGGATTATTTAAATAGTTAAAGATAATTTTTAGCAATGTCACATAAAGAAAATGGAGATGTAACTCAACCACCTGCTGCTACATAAATAAAACAACCTAACTGAAGAAATCTATATTTAAAAAAATCTTAGAGAATTTGTGTATTAATTTATAAATGTTCTCATTTTAGAGATGAAGAAATTGAAGCCCAAATTGGAGAGGTGACTTGTCCAAAAAAGCCCCAGGGTTTTAAAGATGATACCTATATGTTGAAAAGGGGCAAAGTATAAAATAGATTGCACATCAACTTTACAAAAAATTTGTGACATATTCCCAACTTAATTTGTACTCAAAGAACCCAGAGGAGAACAGCCACCATGGTAAATGAGGACATCTGCCAGTCCTACACTTCAAATTCAGGGCACAGGGGACCAAGACAATGGATGTGAAATACAAAAGAAGTCTACAAATACATAAGGCCTGAGTTATTATGTAGATAAGGCCAAAATATTCCTATTTTAAATGTGAGGTAGTGTGCTATATTTAAAAAAGGAGGAAAGTAAAAGAAAAAACTGACAGAAGAAGGTGGGTGTGGAGAAGGGCAATGAGAAAGATAAACAAGGCAGGCAAGTCACGCAAAGCCAAGCAACCTGGGAGTCAGTCAAGAGGAAGTATTTAGTCATAAGAAACAAAAAAGGCCAAAGTAAAATTTACTGTAGCAATTACAGTGTGACGGTTTGAAGTTTTAAGTTGCGATGCTGAAGAGCTCTGCCAGCTCTTGCAGCTATTCGTTTTTACTAGAAGACCAATATCTGGCCACACGAGTCCCCAGGGTGGGAGGGAGTGGCACTTCAGCCAGGCAAGGGGGTCACTTCAAGCTCCGTGAACATCAGCAGCCAACAGTGACACTCACACAGCTCTCTCTCTCTTCCTTTCCAGGTTCCTAAGATAAAAAGGAAGTGGAAAGAAAGGAAGGGAAAGGAAACTATAATAGAAAAAGAAGGGGTACCACAGTTACAGAAATCCATACTGTGGGAAACTTGACACAGCTGAAGAGTCTGGGGAACACACGCTAATATCTAAATTGATAAGCTGCTGCCTTTAGGTAGGACAGAAGCCAGGCCAAAGTAACTTCCTCAGCATCAGTATGTATGGATTTCTTAAAATAAAAACATATGCATTTGTAGTAATTAAAAAAGTGTTTTCTTTCATTCATTCATTCAGGGGCTCTTTACCACTGAGAGACAGTCCCAGTCCTTTTTGTTTTTTATTTTTGAGACAGAGTCTGGCTAAATTGCTGAGGTTGACTTTGAACTTGCAATCCTCCTGCCTTAGCGTCCTGAGTCCCTGGATGCTACCCTACTGCAAGAATAGTGTTTTTAACACTGAAGAAGTTTGGACTGCCAGAAAAGCAGCAGAGAAAATCCTGATCTAAGACATGCTGAATCTTCCTGAGAAAGCAAACCTCCTGCAAACTCAAAGCCCACAGTGCACACAGCTCAACTGATTCCTGGGCACTTATCAGGGTAATTGTCCCTGAGTCACTTCAAGAGTCACAAGGAACTCACAGAACTAGGGCTCAAGAGGCAAAACCCCCTAAGAACAGCTCTAAACTTCCAGAGCAAATGCAGAGGGGGAAAAAAGGTAAGTAAGTTCAACACTTCAGGAGTCAAAAAGTGGAACTTAAAAAAACCAAAGAAATGGTCTGAAAACTAGAGACAAGGGAACAAGATGACAGGGCTGAGCTCTGCAGCTTCCTGTGAGACCAGCAGCTACCTCTGTGTGATTAATGCAGAGGCCGTGGGCCTTCCACTCACCCTCATCTCAGGGATAATTTATTTTTTAAACTACAGATGCTATTTTGCGGTTATTATGTTATTTTAAAAAATAAATTTAAGATTATAAGTTTCTAATTAATTAAATGCAAAAAAAACTAATAGACTGAATACATTTTTTTCCTGACTTACTTGATAAACTTACCTTCTAATATTTAAAATGAAAAAAGCAGGGGCTGGGACTGTGGCTCAGAGGGAAAGTGCTTGCCTCACATGTGTGAGGCTCTGGGTTCGGTCCTCAGCACCATATAAAAATAAAACAAAGATATTGTGTCCACCTATAACTAAAAATAATTTCTTTAAGTAAAATTAAATAAATAAATAAAATGAAAAAAGCAGAAGGGGGTTAAAGCCAGTAATACTGGATTTTATTATTTTTTAAATAACACTAAGAACCAAGGGAAGGGATATCAAAATATTCAAGAGAAAATATTATTTTTTAAGAAAAATATTGTTAAAAATCGTTATAAAGGTGCCGCCTCTAAAAATCCACCTGTTCAAGGTGGGAAACGTATAAAACTGGGATTTACAATAACACTGACATGGAAAGATAACTCATGGTCCATGAAGAACCTTCCCTGGGTGGTGACAAAGGCTTAGGATCTCAGGTATAGACTTTTTAAAACAATGGCTTTCTATCCACCTAATTCAACATCAAAAATGCACCCCAGGACTAGCAACCCTGGAAAACCTCAGGAGAAGGTGCAAGCACGACTGCTCTTCTTAAGCACAGACATCACATAAGCACCTGGCCTCCTCCTAGGGCTCCCGAGTGGATCCTCATAATCTCCTGCTCAGGAACCCACATCATTCAAAAGAGGCAATGGGAGTACAAGAGCATTGGGAACACACACAAATAAAAACGGGAGTAATTCCAACAAAAAAATACATACTGAGTTCTTATTCCACATTTTGATAATTCGAGAGTCTGCAGACAAAATCAGATCTAATGACTCCTGGAAATGAACTGACTTAATGGGTAGACCATACTGGTGATCTTTAACTAGCAGTGGCTTATCAGAACGAAGATCATATAATAAAACCTGAAAGAAAAAAACAAGTTACTTCTGTTGCAACAAACTAAACCGTTTACCTTAGAAAGAAACATATGGAAGTTAGAATGATAGCCATTTGTTTGTTTCATTACCTTTTCATGAACACAATCAACACCCTTACTCAGAGTCCTAACATTACCAGCAATAATCTAGTGAAGTCTTTTAAATTACCGTTAGAATGTATAGTTTATGAATTCAAAACTGAGAGTCATTTTTTACATAAACTAAGCTTGAAAACTTCTGATCTATACTAAGAAAGAAATAACTGGAAGTCCATAATTATTTTTTTCATTTGTTAATTCAACAAATATACACAATGAGGGCCTACTATGTCCAACTGCTGCTATCGCAATTGATGTGTGAATGAAAGACATAATGAAACAGGCCTGGGAGGTTAAGGCTGACAGTGGCAGCATGGCACAACTTCGGTAGCAGGAAAATCTCTTCTAACCCCTGTTGTTAGAGGCAAGGGGGCCTAGGGAAGGTAGAATCTCAGTCCTGAGTGACAGGCCCCCCCTAGCACAGGATGATAGAGGCAGTATCTATTAAAGGTGGGTTTCAGGTCTCTTGTGGACTTAAAGAAAACTTCCAAGCATGTGGGCTCTGCCTTCAAGGAAAGACAGACCTCAGAGTAGCCCTGCTGATGGAGGTTCTGAGGGTCTCACTGCAAGGGATATGGCTAACAGTGCTATGTGACCAAAAGGTCCCTTGCATACACAAATCTTGAAAGTATCTCCTGACCACATTTCCTATTTGCAGGAATTCTCAGGTCCTTTGACATGTGTTTAAACCCACTATGAATTTCCAAGAATAGGAGCTGGGCAAAATTCTATATTTCCATTTCTTGACCACAGATCTCTGCTTTGAAATTTAATGGAAAATGCCATTCCAAACCCCCACCAAGAAAACCCCTGGGCCCTCCTGGCCAAATTACAGTGTTACATTGTGTGCAGGTTCTGACAGACATGCATGGGACAGCAAATTCCACCATTATGTACAATTACAACGCACCAACAGAAGAATATGGGAGGAAGTGCCTGTGCCCACCCCACTGTTATCTCTAACTCCACAGTACTCAGACAACGCACAGGGGAAATATTTCTTCTTCTGTTTTGTTTTGTAGTATTGGGGATTAAACTCGGGGTCTCATGCATGGTAGACAAGTATTCTACCAGTGAACCACACCCCACCAGCCTCCTCACCCCCACACACACACCTTTTTTTTTTTTTAAATTAGAGCATTGTTTGTACATGCTAGCTGGGTTCATTTTGACAAAATCATACATGCACAAAATCCCACATCCCTTTTAAGTTTTTGAGATGGGGTCTCACTAAGTTACCCAGGCTGGCCTTAAACTTGTGATCATCCTGCCTCAGTCTCCTGAGTAGCTGGAATTACAAACATGTGCATCATGCTTGGTTAAGTCAAGCTTTCCTCAGGTATTAGAAGAATCCAGCATTCTGGAGTACCCTCATCACTCAGGCCAAACTTTAATGTCCCATTCTGTGTTCCCACAGTATGATTCTCCTGACACATGCTTCTGAAAGACCAACTTCCATATGACATTTCAACTTAAACATTATTTACCTGCCCTGTAGATGTTCCAACTGCCATGGTCAAAGCACCATTAAATTTCAAAGCAGAGATGGTTGGTAAACTGTTTATCCTGAAAGGCAAAATATTCATGTTCCATGAATATACTGTCAAACCTCTTTCTAAGTAACAAAGTCATTGCTAAACTTCACTTCAAATCTAATAGGAAGCTGGACACAGTGGTGCACACCTATAACCCCAGCAACTCAGGAGGCTGAGGCAAGAGGATAGCAAGTTCAAGGCCAGCGTTAGAAACTTACCCAGACCCTTTCTCAAAAAATAAAAAGAAATGGGGATGAAATTCAGTGATAAGAGTACCTCCCAGTTCAATCCCAGTACCAAAAAAATTCTAATGGGGAATTTCTAGCCTTTTGTTTGGAGGGTAAGTGCAGCCACACTTTTATAATCAAAATTTGAAATACATTTTACATACAAATGCAATCTATATTAACCTTCCATTTTAATTAAACCATGATAAGGTATTCTCAGAAAAAAATCTGTTTTTTACTTAAGGAGAAAACAATTTTATTTTTGATTTGGGTATACATATTTTCATTTCATAATTTGCTACATGCAGGTAAAACAAAAGATTATCTCCAAATAAGGACCCTAGGATCTCTAAGAGTATCAAAGACATCTCTACAATGCACTTCTTACCCACCAACCGGGAATTTCTGCAAAAAAAGCAATTATCCAAGTGCAAATAGTGACAGACACGACTCAGAAATGGACAAGCATTCCTGCTTTCCATGTCTGAGTGTCCTTGGCCCAGGTCCATCAGGCTGCTGGCACTGAGCAACAGCTTTGCCTCTTCTGCCACCCGGAGCCTCAGCCTGGAACCGCCGTGGAAGTGGTTATCAGAAGGAAGCCTGAGGCTTTGCCTCCTCTTCAAAGTGAACCTTGGAAAATTCTTTAGCACACTAATACTTTTTTTTCTACTTACTCAAACTTTGTTTCTCATTAAAATTTTGCCATTGTCTTCATAAAAAGTACTACAGAATTATTGTATTTTGCAATTTTTGTGGTGAATGAGAACTTTGGTCCATTATATGAAACAGTATATTGCTGATGAACACCAAAGTCACTGATCTTTGTTCACTTACTTTGTAACCAATTTATTTATCTTTCATATTAATTAATTCTCACAGGTTTTCAGTTGATTCTGTTGGGCTTCTCAGGCAGACAACAATTTCTCCTGCAAATAATGATCTCCTGCCGCCCCATGCATACTTACACTTTTTTCTTTCTTTCTGTATGGACTCTACCTTCCAGAACTTGTTAAATAATGGAAGTGGTGGCTTACAAGGTTTGTAGGAAAAAAATAAATTCTAGCAATTAAAAAACAAAAACAAAAACACCTAAAACTGAATCAGTAAGAAAACTACTTTTAACATTTTCGTATACCTCCATATTTTTTTCTTCTGGTTGTACACATGTTCATTGTTCTTCTTACACAAATGTGAAAAAATTCTACAGGCAACTGTGATTTACTTTCCCACTGCACCATATACTTGAAGCATCCTTCCCTGTTAAGTATGCTTCTGAAACAATTCTTAAAAGGCTGAACAGTAAACATGCCATTGATGGATGCTTTTCATCTATAAATTCAATAACAGCAACTAGATCAAAAAACTATTGTTCTATATAGAAAGAACTTAGAATAATGCCCAGTAATATGTATTTGCTATTATTTCTACCAAGCTTTATTTAATCAATGTCCTCTGGCTCTTTCTAACACTTTAAAATTAGTAACAAGAAAGCAAGCTGTGGCAGCCATATCTGTAGTCCCGGCTACTAAGGAGACTGAGGCAAGAGGGTTGCTAGAGCCTAGAAATTTGAGGCCAACCTGGGCAACATATAAAAACCCATCTCAAAAAAAGAGAGAGATGTTAGTAACTGCACTATGGTGGATGCCCTGGACTGAGGAGATGGGAGAGTGAGCAAGTGAGCAGACATTTAAATGGATACTAGGTTTTCTGTAAAGACAATTTAGCAACATATCAATGGCTTAAAAATATGCTGTTAAACTCAGCATATTTCAGATTCTAGATATTTTCCCTCAGAAAATAATTACCAAATTATAAACACCCAGCTGATAGCAACAGTGGTCTGGTTACTTAAAGATATCTTCCTACATATACACAGGTCATTTTTACTTTCCTTTTTGTATTTCTAGAACTTTTTAATAATTTTTTTCACTAAGAATAAATTTTAAAATAACTTTTAAAAAAATTCCATCATGACAGCTAAAAATACCCTACCTCTAAGACAAAAGAAGCCAGTAAAAAATGTTTGTGAATCAATATTCTATTTTTTAAAATAAATAGAATAAATACCCTCTTGTTTCTAAAGACCACAGTTAACAAAATATATTTGTTACAGGAATTGAACCCCAGGGTCTTGCACATGCTAGGCAAGTGTTCCACCCCAGAGTTATATCCCCAACCCATCCCCCACCCCTTATAATTTTATTTTGAGACAGGGTCTCGCCAAGTCTCCCAGGTTGGCCAAACTTGTAATCTTCCTGCCTCAGCCTCCTGATTCGCTGGGATTACACATGTGCACCACCACCACTGCCCAGCAAGATTGTTTTTTTTCACATCTCTTCCTTAGATTTTCTATAATGTTACCTCCATTGCAGTCACTACATTAAAAGAAGGAACAGTCTTAAGACAGATTACAACAATCTGCCTTTCTATATACTTTTTCCTAGATGTAACAATCAGAACTTATTCCAGAACCCAAGCCTCTATTCTACCTCAAGGAACAGTCAATGTTTAAGAGTAAGAGAAAATTAGTCTCTGCTTTCTAGGGAGTAGGTAAAGATCTTTAAGTTATAATCAATTTTTTTACCTTCCAAAAATAAGCAGGTTTCTGATTTGCTTTCTTTCATGCCTGTATGATAAAATATTAATGTGCATTTTACACTGATTTATTCTATTAGTAAATATAGGAATGAATTTTCCAATTTAAAATTACTTAATATTTTGTATACCACACCAAAATTAATGAAGTTGTTTATTTGCTTTAATAAGACTCAATAAAAATCAGGACCAAAAAAAAAAGTTTCTATGCTCACTTTAAATCTCATAATAAAAAAGGTGAAAAAAATTATTCTTTGTTTCTCACATAGAGAAGAAATACATATTAGAAAGATACATCTTCCTAACTTTGTGATTCTTAATTTTTTTCCCCCTTGATCAAAGGTGTTTCACATGAACTGATATAAAAAATAAATAAATATATAAATTCTTCCCTCCTTTTCCACCCCAAAAAAGGAAAGTGCACAAAATTTTGTAATAATTCATAGAGTTCACAGTCTTTATATCCTGGAGTCATCAAACACCCACATTCCACATTATATGACTATAAAACATATCTAAAATCTTACTGAACTGAAATGAGGATGAACTGGTAAAGGCACTAGAACCCAGAGAAAAGGCAATTTCTCAACTGACTGTGGCAACAAATCCTGTGTTAAGGATTTGCCCAAGAGTATTCTCTACACGAGTTCATACATGCACAGGACGACACCACTGCCACTCTGATGAGTGGGAAGAAACAAGGGCTTTTTCTTCTTATTTAATTCAAGTCTCTATTCTTTTGTGTTAGAGGTTTTTAACTCCAACTATGTACTCCTCTTCTAAATGTGTTTAGTGTAGGAATCAGACAAACACGAGCAAGAAAAAATTAAAAACTTGCTTTCTTTCACCTTAGCATTCAAAGCACATCTTTTTGCCTGTTAACTAGAGTAGTATGTCCTTGGTCATACAGTAGAATCAGAATATAAATCTCTATAATACGCTAACACATTCCACAGAACTAAGACGTCTGTGTAGTATTTGAGAAAGAAATTCTATTTGGCTAGGCACAGTGGTGCATGCCTGGAATCTCAGCTACTCCAAAAGCTGAGGATCACATGATCGAGGTCAGCATGGACAACTTGAACAACACACTGAAAAAAATTTTTAAAGGCCCGAGGACACTCAGGACACTTGCCTACTATGTGCAAGGCCCTGGATTCAATCCCTAGAACTGGGAGGGAGGGAGGGAGGGAGGGAAGGAAGGAAGGAAGGAAGGAAGGAAGGAAGGAAGGGAATGGAAGGCAGAAGGAAGGAAAGGAGCAAAAAAGAAACTGTATCTGAATCAGCCACTTAGCTTTTACATGAGAGCATTTTTATGTAAAACAATTACAGTCACTACAATTTTTCCCTAAAGAGTTTAATCCTGTAGCGATTTATTGTAATTTCATATTGATACATTTGCTTAAATCAGAAGGTTCATATTAAATATATCACAAATTAACTTCTACTCACTCTGAATCTGCTGTGACACTATTTAACGCACAGTCTAACAGGCCAACTCTATTTCGAGTTCTTGGGTCCCAGCACTCCACTCGACCCTACACAAATGAAAGCCAATTTTAAATGAAAGTTACTACTACAAGAATTTTAAACACATTCAAAATAAGATTTATTAACACTGATTATCTCATGGGAAATAAAAATTTAACTTTTTACCTTATGCCCTTTTTAGTACTGTTTAAATATTATTTCATGAACTGATTTCCTTTTTTAATTAAGGAAAAAACTGGTCATAAGTTATCTCTAGATTATGGGATTTAGTATCTGGAAGGTATAGAAGTATACATTTTTTGTTATATACCTCAGGTATATGTGCATCTTTTTAAACTCTTGAGTATTTCTCATTATCCCAATGAAAAAATGCAAATCTGGGAGGGGATATATATATATATATATCCCCAGTACAGAGAATTGAATTGAAACTAGGAGCACTCTGCCACTGAGTTACATCCAAGTCCTATTTACTGCTAAGTTGCTCAGGCTGGCCTCAAACTTGCAATCCTCCTGCCTCAGTCTCCCAAGTCACTGAGATTACAGGTGTGCACCACCATGCCCAGATATCTAGAAAAATTCTTGACAAACATGAAGCACCCTGATTCAAAGTTACTGTAGTTTAAAAGTACAGTGTGTGTTCGATATTTTTTGAATACTACTATATAACACATGACACCATTCTATATACTTTTCTAGTTTATGTTGTTTTAATATAGGTTATTTCATATGAATGTCATCCACACTTCTGAAGAGTTGCTAAGGTAAGTACAGTCACATATTGCTTAATGATGGGGATACAATCTGAGACCCACAATTTTACCCTTATATAAACATTATAGTTTATACTAACACAAAGACAGCTACAGCATCGCTGGGCCATAGCCCATAGAGTCCATCATTGACACAAATGTCATTAAGCAGCTTGTAACTGTATTACTGTCTCAGCAATGAAGAAACTCAAGTCTTAGGAATAACAACTAATTCACAGACATGAAGCCATCTAATAAATGAGAGTTGAGATTCCAAAAAATATTGCCTCCCATAAAAAACAGTGTAGCTGTCTGCAGTGCTCTTCTTGGGCCAGCAATCCCAGGGCAGTGGCAGGTTGGACTTAGCTATCTACACTTTCCCTCAAGTACCCAGAACAGTCTCTGTGGCACCCACTCTGATGCATGCATGACCAGAACAGTCAACAGTTGTGGAGTAGCCATGTCTCTGTGTACAAAGGTCAATGTAATATGCAAACAGCAAACCAGGGCCATTACCTCATTATCATCCTGCTCTGAGGAATCAAGCAACTGTCTTTAAATAAAAATTCCATTCACAATCAAATGTGAAACAAATACTGAAAGAAATAAAGTCAGTGATTGGGCAAAGATCAGGGATATGGGGACAGGAAAGATGGTTGAATGAGATGAACATCATACCCTAGGTACATGTATGACCACACATATCGTGCAACTCTACACTGTGTACAACGAGAAATGAAAAGTTATGCTCCATTTGTTTACAATGAATTGAAATGCATTCCTCTGTCATGTATGACTAGAACAGAAAAAAAAAAAAGGAGAAACGGAAAAAGAAATAAGGTCAGCACATGCTTACCTCAATTGTTCCTGTGGCAAACAAGCCATGCACTGAATTTATGTCACAAACATTGTTCTCCCTAAAACAGTAAAGCAATAAGGAAGAAAATACTAGTTAGCATCTATTTTTGAGAAAAGAGGTATTCAATAAACTTTCTAAATAAACATTTAATACAAATTCCACGGAGACAGAAGATGTGCATATTCTCTCATCACCTGCAAGTGAAAAATGAAGGAGTTAAGCCTGGGCTAGCAGCCACCAGACCTTCCAGTCCCCAAGGTAACAGGTACAACCTGCTTACCCGGTGACAGACAAGACAGGCTTTCCTTCTGAAACACTATTCCACCATCTAGAAAAGAAAGGGTCATTCTGCTTTCTTCCAAGGCAAGTCTCAGGAACACAGGCTATCACTACAGCAATCTTGAGACCTGAGTATGCTGATCTAAGCCTCATTTTCATTCTCTATCAAGTAGATATTTCACCTACCTCACTGGATTGTTGTGAGGACTAAATGAAAGTGACTGCAAAGTGTTCAGCAATATACATAGTATGAAGACACACAATACACCAGCTTTTATTATAATAAACAGGAAATCATGAAACTAAAGAGCAGGTAACGTTTTGTTATGCAATAATGTATTACGAAGCTATAAGCTTTTTTAAAAAAGAAAATAAAAGCACACCAGGCATGGTGGCACATGACTATAATTCCAGCAATGCCTATAATCCCAGCAACTTGGGAGGTTGAAGCATCAGGATAGCTGGTTCAAAGACAGCCTGGAAAATTTAGCAAGCCTGTCTCAAAATAAAAAATAAAAAGGGCTGGATATGTAGCTCACTGGTGGAGAGCCCTAGGTTCAATCCTCTGTACCAGAAAAAGAAAAAGAAAGAAAAGCAATTCAGGCCAACATGGAACAAGTTTACTTGTTTTCATAAATCACTGTATACTCTTCTAATCTTCAAAAATATTCTCAAAGCAATAAGACAAATTCAACAAGTTCTTCCTTCACACAAATGAGAAACAATCCAGCTCCTATCCTGAACTCACTGTCTGGCCTTGGGCAAACCACTAACTCCTCTGATACTAGGCTGCTCTCTCTGTAAAGTGAAGACACTGGGACCTACTACAATATCTGATGTCAGTTTAAAATGAGCCAATATAAGTAAAATGGCAGAATAATGCCTGGCATGTGGTGTTTTCATTCTCATGGTTATTTATTATTCAATAAGATGATAACAATAAATTCATTCCTAAAGAATTTCTCTTTGAATAAAATGTAAGTGTAGCTTATAGTGTATGATAAAAGGAAAAATTTTTAAATCTCAAATGTCCAATAACATAAAAAATAAAAATTTAAAAAATTATACAATAATCAAAATTTTCCAAGTGAGAAAATGTAGAACAAAACCAAATCATAAATGAAAACTTAACACTGCAAATAAAAATATCAAGCTGAGCGTTTCTGTTTGTTTTGTTGTTGTTGAGCTCAGGGGATTAATTCAGGGCTTCATGCATGTGACCCAAGTAGGAAGCCAATGAGTCTTATCCCCAGCCCTAAGCTGAGTCCTTTCAAAGGAAATAGGACTCAGCTTAGGGCTGGAGAAGTTTTAAATCGAGAATTGAAATTTTTAAAGAAATCATCAGGTCTCTTAGTGAAAGTTTTAAGAAAAAAAAATTAAACTAAGTGGAACAAAGTTCTACTTAAATATAATACAGGTTATCAGATTAAAAACTTGAGCACCTAGCACCATCTCCTGGTCAAAATAAATACAGCATCACTTCAAACAATACTCACGCAGCATTAGTTTGTAGAGGATTCAGATATCGTCCTTGTTCTAAATTTAATCTGTAAACTTCAGAGCTGCAAAGAAATGAAGAAAGCTAAAAATATGGCAAACTACAATAAACTTTTATTTAAATAAATGTAAATTTCAGAACTACATACATATATCACTTATAAAATATATGCATGATTAATTATCATCATCATAACTCATCACTTTCCTTTGCAAAACTGATAAAAAGATTTATTTCAGATCTAAAATATATTCATCTTATTTACAAACCCGTAATGTATAAAGGTAAGTTAAACTATTTGTTGAGGAAATATCATAAAGTAATTAGACTATTTACAAATAACACAGAAAATGCAAGATTCAAAGGTATATATATCTAATATAAAATAAAAGATTAGAAGGAAATACAACAAAATACTAGCAAAGGTTTTCTCTGGGTTTATGGATGAATTTTCTTTTTCATACTTTTTTTACATTTTCAAATTTTTCTATAAGGGATAGGAATTTTCTTTTTTAATATCTTTTTAGTTGGACACAATGCCTTTATTTTATTTATTTATATGTGGGGCTGAGAACTGAACTCAAGGCCTTACATATGTTAGGCCAGTACTCTATTGCTGAGCTACAACCTCAGCCCCTGAATTTTCTTTATATTTATAAAAAGGTGACACTTAAGGATAAGAAGTTTTAGAATACTATATAACAGGGCTAAGAAATGAACCTCACCAACAAAATTATCCTACTAGGTTGCAGATATAGCTCTCTGTATTTAGAGAATAGGCAACAGAAGTCAAGGGTCACATCCTAAATGATATAGTCTCCTTGAAAACATAAAGCAACTTAAAAGCAGGGATCATGTATTATTCTTGCATAAAGCTGCTCCCAATGTTTTTTAACTAGAGTCCATAACCACATATGACCTCAATTACAAAATGGTTCAGAGAGAAATACATTACTGATACTGAATAAAACTTAAAGCAGAACTACAAGTTTGGAAAAATAAAGAGAAATCTGGGAAACAGAGTAAAATAAACAAATATGTATCTTGTACATTGTGGCAACTGGGCTATAGTGAACAGGCTTATATTTCCTAACAGCATTTCCTGCTTTAACCACTGTAACATAAAACTACCATAAATACTTTTAATGTTAGAATATTTTATTAAGCAGAACAACAGGTATTAAAATGTTACGATACCTCTTATACACAAAACGCACCAGTGTGTAACTAGTAGACTTATTTTTGGCTTATTCCTTGGTTTCTTTTTTCTTTTTTTGTTACTGGGGATTGAACCCAGGGGTGCTTAACCACTGAGTCACATCCCCAGCCCTTTTTATTTTGAGACAGTGTCTCACTAAGGTACTTAGGGCCTCGCTAAATTGCTGAGGCCCACTTTGAACATGTAATCCTCATGCCTCAACCTCCCAAGCAGCTAGGATGATTACTGGCATGCACCCACCACACCCTACAAAGATTTTTTTCTTTAAAATAATAACCATGTATCACTTTATCTGTTAAGGCTATTTAAACAGAGAAACTATACAGGAAATTTATTAAGAGAAATTGTTTGTGAAGTGAAAAGGAAAAAGAAAAAGAGTGAGTAGATCCAATACCTTGCACCAACAAAGTACAAATCACAGGATGGATAGTGATAAGAGAAATCTCTCCCGAACTTTGGTATTCTGGTTTTGTAGTAAAAACCTGATTGTGAATGAAATTCAATATATCTATCATTATGTAAGAAGACAATCTGAAAATAAAAGAAAATCACTTTACTTAGGTTTCTACATAAAGTTTTGATTTCATCATCACCAAAGCAAGAAAAAAAAAAACTGATCGCTCTCACACTTATTCTCTCTAAACACACAGACATCCCACACACTCCAGTGGAATTAAGAATCACAACTCTGGGCTGGGGCTATAACTCAATGGCAGAGGACTTGCTTTGCATGTAAAAGGGACTGGGTTTGATCTTCAGCACCACACATAAATAAGTAAAAAAAAAAAAAATAAAGGCCCATTAACAACTAAAAATATCTATTAAAAAAAAAAAAAACTTAAGAAAAAGAATCTCTGTTTCCTGATCCTTTCCTGCACCTCAACATCGTCTCTGAGAGCCTTTCCTTCTAACCAACAGAACTAAGACAAATGCCTTTCGCTGACGTAGCTCCAACACATTCTAATGTGGAGTGATGTATACTAGTTGCAAGAGCACCTTTCTGCTTCACTGAAGAACACATTCTAATAATCCCACACAGTCACACAGTTTGATAAACTCATTTAATTTAATTTTAATGTACTACAAAGGTAACTGAAAACCCTACAGATAGCATTTAATTGCAAATTTGTCAATATTAAAAAATATATATTTTAAAATTGTATGTCCTCAAAATACATGAAAAAAGCTACCACAGATAAAAGGATAAACCGAAAACTCAGTTCTCAGAACTAAAGACAATACACGAACCATGTCAGGGGCTGGGATTGTGGCTCAGCGGTAGAGCGCTCCCCTAGCATGAAGCATGTCAGCTAAGAAAATTCAATTTTCCTTCAAGTCGACTTTTTTTTTTTTTTTTAATGGTGATGGGATTGAATTCAGGGCCTTGCACACAGTAGGAAAGTGCTCTACTATTGAACTGCACCCCCAGCCCTTCCTCACAATGCCATTTAACATCACTAAATAATGCTTTTATTTTAATAAATTTATTTTAGCTGGTACATAAAAATTATAGATATTAATGGGACATCATGATGTTTCATAAAAATTTTTCACTTTAAATTGAATAAAGGCTTTATTAACATTTTCTAATTGTAGAAAATGACCATAAGAATTGAAAGATGGACCAACAGCATAAAGAAAAGCAAACAAATAAATCTGTTTAGTTGTGTTCTGAATTGTACCAGAAGACACCACAACCACTTGCTGGGTCAAGAAAATGAAATGTACAACAGTGCTAATTTACTCTTATGATTCAGAGAGCAAAAACAACCTGGCAACAAACCTAAGTTCAAAAATCAGAATTACAAATCTAGTACATAAGATGGTCTATAAAAAATGACTGCTTCTAATTCTTAAAAATGGAGATAAAGTCTTATCAATGGAAAGCTAAATTAGACAGGCCAAAAGTCATCTCTGCCTCAGTTGTCCTAAAAAATACTACACATCACACATGCACCAAACTACAAGAATATTAAGAGAAAAAAGATAGGTTATCTACTAATACACAATCTTCTTTAACAACTGAAAATTGAATATCTTTATCCTTATAAATTCCACTCACTCATTCCTTTAATATAACCAGCACAAATCCATGCTGTCAAACATACCTTTGAATAGTCATCTGATAAAATTTCAAAGGTGACAACTGAAAAAGAATAGGGGAAAAATGCAATTATCAATCAACATTCTTTAAAAAAAAAAATCTTGAAGCAAAGATTCTAATTCAACGCAGAAATTATACAGAAATACTGTTTAACCCATACAAGAATAAAACTGCCACGTTGCCCCCAAAATGACAAATGGAAAATTCAATATAAACCATCTAGATTTTTATAGAACGAAGCAAATCCACAAAATATGACTTCTAAATTTTGTCAGTATTTTACCCAGATGTTCAAAATAATTTTTAAGACTTTCAAATATACATTTAAAAACATTTTAAATATTGATTAAAAAATGATAATAGAGCTGGGGTTGTAGCTTATGGTAGAGCACTTGTCTAGCATGTGAGGCACTGAGTTCAATCCTCAGCACCACATAAAAATAAATAAATAAAGTGCCACGACACTTTTATTTTATTTAAATCAGTCAGGGTCACTCAAGGTGAATTTGAGTTGGCACGAAAATAATTACACACAGACAGAAAATACCCTTTTTTTGGATCCAGTGACAGCTCTCGACCTTAGGGGTCCTTTGGAAAGACAGAGAGCCACCTGGATTCTTTATTCTTACATAGGGGGCACACAAGGGGAGGTTCCATGGAACACACTATCCCAAAAAAGATTAAGGGGTAATATTACAAAGGAACAAGAAGGCAGCCCACTCCACAGGTAACACCCACTTCCAAAGCTTTGCTCCTCTGCTGAGGGGAGATAGGGATCCTCCTGCTTCCCAGTTAGGGAAGCCAGTCTCCACATTTCCATCGCTCAAAGCTAGGGGGCGCTCAGCTCCCGACTATAAAGGTAATGTGCTCATCTACAACTAAAAATATTTTTTAAAAAGGGTAACAGTAACTCTACCTATTCATAGTTTATCTGCTAAATAAAAGTAAAGAATGAAAACCACTGTACTAGTGGCACACAGAAGTTCTAGTTTTCAAAAGGCAAAGGGTGAGACAAGTTAGAATGCGCTTGTAATTCTTCTAAGGAAACTCCCCAGGGTGTGGTGGTACACACCTATAATCCCAGCAACTAGGGAGGCTGAGGCAGGAGGATCACAAATTCAAGGCCAGCTTCAGCAACTTAGTGAGGCCCTTAGTAACCTCCCATTAACTCCTTTTCCCTTAATCCCCAACACCAGGGCCAGCTAATAAAAGTTGAACTTCCCCATTTTAATGTGCCTTCCATGCTTGACAGAACCTGAGAATGACTCTCAGTGACCTTTACTCTAGTACAATCCTTGCTGCTCTGCGAGTGTGGGAGGACCCTGTGACTTGCTGAGATACCACTCCTCTGAAATGTTACCTTATATATCAAAGGGGAGATTTATAATCATATGAGCCTATAGAAACAGTTTCCTTTTGCTGGTAGTGAAGGGAGAGTCATAAAGATGCAAAGCACTAGAAGGATCTAATGAGCTGCTGCTGGCTTAAATGTGGAGGTGACCACGGGACAAGGCATGCAGGCATCTTTAACAAGCCAACATAGCCAGCGGACAGCAAGAAATGGGATCCCCAGTCCTACAAGCACAACAAACTGAAGTATGCCAACAACCTGAGTGAGTCTGGAAGCACAGTCTTATGTTCAGTCCTACAAACAAGAGCACAGCTGGCCGGCACCCTGATTCAGCCCTGAACACAGGACACAGCAGAGCCTGGAAGGACTTACTGACTTACAGAATAGCAAGCTGCTAAATGGATCTTTAAACCACTAGGTTTGTACTAATTTGATACATAACAATAGAAAACTAATATACAACTGTTGTGGTTTAGATATGAGGTGTCCTCCAAAAGTTCCTGTGTGAATGCGGGACTATGTCAGAGGTGAAATGATTGGATTATGAGAGTAGTGGGTAGATGGGCCCAAGCTAGTTCTAATGGACTAACTGGGCGTGGCTGGAGGAGGTGAGTCACTGGGGGTGTGCCCTGGAAGAGTGCATCTTCCCTGAGGCCCCTTCCCTACTTTCTCTCTGCTTTCTAGTCACCATGAGGTAGGCAGCACTTCACCATGCTCTTCCACAGTGATGTCCTGACTTGCCCTGGGCCCAGAGCAATGGCCAACCACTGAACCAGGAACCAAAATGAACTTTCCCTCTTCTAAATTGTTCTTCTCAAGTACTTTGGTCACAGTGACAAAAACTAACTAGCACAACACCCCATTTCCATTTTGAAAGGCAGAAAAGTAGACAAATATCAAAAGTTATTTTTACAAACTCAAAGTTATTATCTTACTCACCTTCGGAATCTAAACACCTTTCAAACTTCAAGGATAACTGATAGGTGTCATAACACCGAACCCGGGGTTTATATGTTCCTATAAAAAAAAATTAAAGTGATGTAAAACCTAAAGATAGACTTTTCATAGTCAGTATCCTGTAGAACTAGTGAGGATACCTTTTGTTCAGAGGTAGGCAGTATTCATTGTGACCAAATCAAACAAAATGAACTAACTTAAAAGCACTCCAAGAAGGAAATAAGCAAAGGACAAATAAGCAAGTCATGGGAAATGAATTACAAATAAAAGGCCTCAGGAAGAGCTAATGAAAGTAGACTGAGACCATTGTCCACCCCAATGGCAAAGATTAAAAAGATCTGTGCTGATGGGAGTGGTCTGACATACTGCTGCTGAACAGTGTAACTGTCACAACTTCTTCAGAGGACAATCGGGCAATACCTGTAGGATATGTCATTTCTATGCACCTTGAAACTACATTTCAACTTACACAAACTGAATCTAAAGAAACATCCTCAAGAATGTACCAAAGATAGGAAGAGCAGTTGCTGGTGCACTATTTATAATGGCTAGAAACTGAAAGCAAATAAAATGTCACCTGACAGGAAAATGCTTAAACAAACGGTGGCAAATCTACGCAAAGGAACATTATGCACCTCATAAAGAGAGGAACAGACCTGTAACCCCTGGGGTAGAAAATAACACGTCCTGCAGAGGGAGAAAACAGAAGGGAGTGCCACAGAAGAGGCACTCCATTCTGTAGAACTGAACGCTGGTGGTGGTAGTACTCTGTGCAGGAAAAGGTGAAGGAATAAGTACTGACTTCATAATGAATGGTCTATCTCTGAGCAGTGCAATTCTGACGACTTTCACATTTTATGCTATGTATTTCTGTAAGTTTGTGTTCCTCACATTGGCAATGAGAGGAAAAAAGTTGGTTTTTGAAACGAAAAATCTTTTTTTTTTTTTTTAAAGAGAGAGTGAGAGAGAGGGGGGGACAGAGAGAGAGAGAGAGAATTTTTAACATTTATTTATTTTTTCTTAGTTCTCGGCGGACACAACATCTTTGTTGGTATGTGGTGCTGCTGAGGATCGAACCCGGGCCGCACGCATGCTAGGCGAGCGCGCTACCGCTTGAGCCACATCCCCAGCCCCTTGAAACGAAAAATCTTAAAAAAAAAAAATGAGACAAGTTTAGTTTTTTGACATGAATCAGCACCTAAGATTTCAGGGACATAGTTCAGTTGGTAGAGTGTTTGCCTTGCACACAGAAGGCCTTGGGTTCAATCCCCAGTAACACACACACACACACACACACACACACACACACACACACAAAGGAAGGGGGAATACCTTGGCAGTAGAGAGTCCCTAGGTTAAATCCTCAATACCACAAGAAAGCCTAAGATTTCATTTTAAAAAAGAAAAGTTCAGGGCTAATGATACAGCTCAGCTGGCAAAGCGTATGCCTACCATGCACAAGGGCCTGGGTTCCATCCTTAGTACCGTCAAAAAATAAATAAATAAATAGAAGTTGAAAAAACAGTAAACATACTTGGAGCCCACTGTTATATGATGACCATTTAAAAAGATCTGTACATTTGAGTGTCTGAAGGGCCATATGGAAGAATAAAAATATGCAGGGCCTTCATTCCCATTTTCTTTGTTTTGGTTTTGTTTTTGCTTTTTATTTTTTTTTATCATTTACAAGGTTTACATGTTTTACTTTCACCATCACAAAATATGTGACAAAAAAGATAAACATAAATAAAAGCAGTCCTTCTATTTCCTGTTTTTTCCCCTCATTCCCAAGAACAATTCTGGGTTACGCAGGTTATGTCCATTTGTCAAAGCTCAACAAATTGTAAACCTAAGACATACGCAAGGCTGGAAATGCAGCTCAGTGTTAGAGCACCTGCCTAGCATAACCAGGCCTTGAGCTCAACCTCCTGTACTATACCAAGCACGCACACATACAAAACCTCCATGTATTTCTAGTTAATGACATACACGCTAAGGTACACACAGGTGAAGTAAGCCAATACTTACTACTTGTTCTGAAATGCAACAAAAAACAAGATAGAGCCAGGCACAGTGGCACACACCTGTAACCTATTAATTGGGAAGCTGACAGGAAAATCACAAATTCAAGGCCAATCTGGGTAACTTAGCAAGACCCTGTCTCAGAAAAAGGGCGAGATGAGCAGGGTACAGAAGAACCCCTGTAACAAGAGATTGATGGATGCACAGAAAGAGAAATAAATAGGTGAGACAGCAAATAGCAAACAATTTATTTATTTATTACTATAGTCTACTATTAATTGCAGAATCTAGGCAGTAAATAACTGGGTGCTCACAGTACAATTTTTTTCAATATTTCTTTATGTCTGAACTTTTTTACAATAAAATGTTAGGGTAAAAAAAGTGACCTTTCCACCACAGCATTTCATGCTATGAAATGTATGTAAATCATAACCAAAAAGATGCTTACCAGTTGCTAAAATATATTGTCCATCTTTTGACACCTTAATAGTGGTACACACAGTAGGCATTTCAAAATCCTGAATAAGTTCAATTCTCCTACGGACATCTACAAAGAGAGAGAAAAAATAACCAGTTTATTTATTTTTTTTAACATAACTTTATTTTTTATGTGGTGCTAAGAATTGAACCCAGTGCCTCAGATATACTAGGCAAGAGTTCTACCACTGAGCCACAACCCCAGTCCCATGAATCCATTTTGTTACACAAGAGAACAAAGGAATGGGAGAATTAGATAAAATCAAAATCTGTAAGTATTAGAGCAGTTATTTTTGTTATCTTTTGAATTAAAATTTTAATTTTCTAACTTTAGTATTATATAAAACCTACTCTTACCTTGTGATCTTTATCCCACATCTAGAAACCCATCAATCTTTGATTTTTATACACTCAGTTTTAAATGAAATATAAGGGAAGCCAGGTATAGTGGCACACACCTGTAATCCCAGGTTTAGGAGGATAAGGTAGGAGGCTCACAAGTGCAAAGCCAGCCTCAGCAACTCAGCAAGGCCCTAGCAACTCAGAGAGACCCTGCCTCAAAATAAAAAATTAAAAGGGCTATGGATGTGGTTCTGTGGTTAAGCACCCCTGGGTTCAATTCCTAGTACCAAAAAAAAAAAAAAAAAGAAAGAAAGAAAGAAAAAACAAGGAAAGATAAATTTTTTATCCATGGAAAATGTAATAGAGAAAAATGTAAAGAAAATCTGTCCACCAATTTCTGATTTCTTAATCAGAAATCTTACATTCTGATTTTTCCCTGCTGTCATTAAGTTAAAGAATCAAAATATTCTCATTAATACATATAATTATGATGTACCAATAAAAAATGTAGGGAAAAAATTATATTACAAAAGAATCAAAATCTTCTGTTTATGTTCATACACTCTATGTGTATAATTCTTTCATTCAGAAAGAAAAATGCCTTATTTCAAAAACAGACAAATAGATTTAATTTAAAAAGATTCTGATACACTGGAGAACAAAACAACTGTTGGAATGTCGCTGAGCACAGTGGCACACAGTGACTCAGGAGGCAGGAGGATCAGCAAAAGCTTAGTTGCACTAAGCAACTCAGTGAGATGGTCTCTAAATAAAATACAAAATAGGGCTGGAGATGCAGCTCAGTGGTCAAGTGCCCCTGAATTCAATCTCTAGTACCCCTCAAAAACAAAAAATTGTTGGAATGTTCAAAGAGGTCCTCCTTGGGCCTCAAGTTCTCATACATCTTGCTGATTGTGGCAAGACTGCAAGGCACTGCCACTCTTATATCTAGACCATTTTTCAGGGTTATTTATACAGCTGGAAACCCTGACAGATGCAATCATATGTCCCTTTTAGACAAAGAGCAGGCTTCCTTACTGCCTGCTATAAAAGCAGTGGTCTTCCCAGCTCAGGGCACCTCAGCTGCAACGCAAATCCACTGTCTAGGGAGCACCCATCTGCATGGTGCTGAATATCCCCGTGGGACTCTAGTGGAAATTATCATGAGTATGCTGACACTCACTGCACTTGCTGTGCTCTAAGTAATAAAGTCTCTATCTCTGACCCAGGAAGTAAGAGGTTAATTTATTTGTTTTTAGTAGAATAAAATCAAATCCCACACCTCCCAGGAACATATCAACCACAACAAAAAGCTTCTTAAAAAGAAAAAGGCAAAAGTGTTTATTTTCCACTACAGTAGTCCCTTTACATCCTCAGGCGAGCCAGAGCTTTATAATACGGATCACTAACGTCACTGAAGCAGAAAGAGACAATACTCACCAACATCTTTCTTCTGCAGTGCTCTCTTTTTCCTATCAGACAACCACTTAAAGAAAATAAAGAGATTGTATTTTAAAACAAATTTAGAAAATTCAAACCTGATAGGAATATATACTCCTACATAAGATGAAAATATTCTGTGATCCTAATACTACTACTGTGAAGAGATGTTGTGGATTTTTTCTTGTATATACTTACATACATTAGACAATGAGTTTCTCAAACTCCTATGTTTCACATGAAAGAAAACTAAATCATCTAAACAATGTAAGGGAAAATAGTAAGCCTCAAATAAGTAACTCATACATGGAATAACTGCATCTATTTAAGTGAAAATTTTACATAAAAGTAGAAAGTCTGAAATATCTCTTTTTTCATAAAGAATAAAGTAGATAAATAACTGGCCAAATAGCTGACTGGAAAATAAATAAATGGTAATTTTACAGTCATACTCACTGATACCAGGTTTTGTTCTATACCCCAGCCTAGAAAGCAGCACAATTCTGTTGCCTAACTGGGTGACAAGAGGAAGCACTTGTCAATTATGATTATCCTAAAGCAATGGCTCCTGACCAGGGCAGTTCTGTTCCCCAAAGGGCATTTGGCAATTCCTGAAAATATAGTTGTCACAACTGGGGTGGGGGTTTATCCTCCTGGCATGCAGCAGGTCGAGACCAGAACAATGCCAAACATCCTATGATAAATGCATAAGACAGGCTCCAGGAACCAAGAACTGACCAGCTCAAAATGTCTATATATGTCAATAATGATGAAGAAACCCTCCGATAAAGAAGTGAAAGAAAAGCAAAAGAAAAATGAACATATGTCTCCTCTAAAAGCACAAGTCAATGTATATCCCCTATTCTATGACATAATAATCTTCAGGACTCTCTGGTTATGCAGATTCACCACTCAAGTCCCTAAGTGACACCTGAGGCAGTGTCTACATGAGGAACAAGATAATACTTTGAAGAGCCTGATTTAGAGCCAGAGCTCCCTCCCATCTTCTTAGTGGACTGACACAGATTTATGCCAGTGATTGTATTACTCTGATTTTACTTTAGGCAGTAATATTGTAATTAAAGGTTCTGTTGAGTACATTTTGGGGCATTCAATGTGTTCTTTTACATCAATTTATCACAAGCAGAACAAAGGTATATTACCAGAATACAATTTTCTTAGAAGTTTTGCTTACAAAGGCAAAAATTCATAGAATCATAGGGCTCATCCTTTTGAGCAAATGAGTGTGGGGCAAAGAGGTGAAGACTGAGATATACTTCTACATGGGGGTCTGGGACCTGGAAGGCCAGGAATTCTCCACACAGTGAAGATGGGAAGGAAGAAAAGTTCATTCAGGAGTTTCTATATAAAAGCTGACAGCACACAGGAAAAGGAGTCATCATGGGACAAGAAAAAAGAAGCCTAAAAATGTTTCTAAAGTTCATGAAAGAACCAAAAGCTTTCACTAAATTAAGCCATCCTCTTAATATTCTATAAAGTTATAACTAATAAAGAATTGTACTACGTGTGGTAGTGCATGCCTGCCATCCTAGGTACTCAGGAGGCTGAGGAAAGAGGATCACAAGTTCCAAGTGTGGGTGACTTAGAAAAAACCTTGTCTCAAAACAAAAAATAAAAAGGGCTGGTAAAGCATCCCCAGTACCAAAAAAAAAAAAAAAAAAGCACCTTACCAAATAATGTAATCAGAAACCTAGCCCCACCCCCTTCTGCACCCCAAAAGCAAGCAAGTTCTGGGAAGGCTGGTGGCCTCACTCTCACTGCATAGGTGCCTCTCTCTTGCTAGAAAGGGGTTGGGGGAAGACCCTATTTACTCTTACATTTGAAGGAGGTAGAGCTAGAATGTACACTACTATATACTACTCAAGGTTCCACTTGATACTTATTAGAACTTCAAACTTTCAATATCAAAAATAAGACTTCCCCACTCCCAACCATTCATCACTAAAAGCACTTTTTGTCATCTGAAATGGTTTTCTCATTTGCTCATTTGTTCATTATCCTTTTCCCCAACAGGGAACTTTATCTAACACGTTCACCATGTACCCAAACACTTAGAGCTGCCTTGGCTAGAGATGTGGCCCAACAATAGAGGACTTGCCACTTGCCCAGCATGAGTAAGGTCCTAAGTTCAATTTCCAGGACAGAAAAGCAAACAAACAAACAAACAAAAATGGAACTCTCTGCACATACTCTCAACAAATGAGCAAAATGAAAAAACAAAATGAGAAAGATCACCTGTGTTATGAACAACTGGAAGATGAGGAATCAGTTAAACCATTGGTTCCAAATTTCTCAGTGATGATGGGTACACTGAAGAAAATCTACGTTGAAGTAGAGCTACCTTTATTTTGTTTTCCAAAGGCCAATAGTGGCATGCTATCAAGTGGTACATTTTGAAACCACTTTCTAACAAGAGCAGAGTCTTGAGAATTTTGAGCTAAGGCTGTAAATTTTCACCTTCCTAAGAATGGAAATGAGCTTCCACAAAGTTTTCTCTCCCTGGAAGTGCTTGAACAGAGGCTTAACTACCACTTATAAGAACTAAAAACCAAGCTTCAAAGCCTACTGTGTGACCCTGGATAAATCATCTTTCCCCTGGCGAGAGCTTCGCTGAATACTTCAAACATAAAAAGACTGAACTAGTACTACCGATTTGTCCAGGCCTTTCTGACTTCGACGTTCTAACACCATGGAATCAAGTTCAGCAAGATTCGAATACACTGTCCATAAATGCTACAGGTGTAAAGTCTGGATCTCCCTTGTCCACCGTTGTGACCCTAGGACCTCGCTCATAATAGGAGCTCCACAAAAACGAACGGATATGAAAACCGGGAGAACATTCAAATAGGGGAAGAGAGTTCTGTCAACCCATCTGTCCACGTTTTCCTGCTCGGCGTGGGAATGGCTGTGGACATGCACACAAGCCCAAGGGACGCGACCTCTGTTCTGGTGAACCTCACAAAAATTCCAGCAAAGCTCTTCGACCCTGATCACCTCCCGGTCCAGGTTCTGGTGCGGTGGCAGTAGCGCCCTTATTTACCAGGGCTGACGAGAGCCCCAGCTCACAGCCACTCGCCCCTGGGCCTCCACGAATCGGGGGCCAGTAGAGGCCCCGCTAAGCCAGGCCAAGGCCAGGGCCAAGGAGAGCGGCGGCTGGTGGGCGAGGAGTGCCCCCAGGAGCTCCGGAGTGGGGGGCGTGGACGGACTCACCTCGGGAAGGGACTTGCCGCAACTGAGACTGTAAATCTTCACCTCGTTGAGGCTGGAGACCTGCATGGCTGCACCAAGAAGCGACGGCACCTGCCGCAGTCCCAGCTCCTCCGACACCTGAGCAGCACCCCAAGAGAACCCGAGGGCGACGCGATCCGGCGCACGGCGTGCGGCGGCCGGCGCGGGGCGATGACGCACTTCCGGGCGCCGGGACACGCACTTCCCGGAAGTGGGAGACGTAAATCACCGCGGCGGTGTAGTGGGGAAAACCTGCGAGGCCGGGCGAAGAGGCGCCGGCGGGCGGCTACGCTGTTGCTGGCACGGCCAGACTCTGCTTTTTCACCTCTCAGTTTCCCGAGGTGCAGGAAGTGGCCTTTTGCTCGCTGCCGCTAGCCAGGCCAAGATGTCGCGGTCCTGGGCAGGGGCGGGTGGGGTCAGCGAGCGAAGCCCACCGGGCTGCGGATTCGGAGTGGGCGTTGGTTTCTTGTTGTCGCCGTTCCGTTTTCACTCCTCCCGCGTTTCTGTCCGTGGGGAGTAGCTGGCTCTCAAAGCTGCAGTGGCGCCCGCCTGTGCTCCCAGCTCCTTGGGAGGCCGAGGCAGTAGGAGCGAGGTTCCAGACCAGGCCTGTCTCCAAAAGGAGGGTGGGAGAGGCCTGCGTGATCCCCAGTAGCAGGAAGGGGAAAAGGCGTGTTAAATGTTGCTTTTGTCTGTATTTCACATTCATCTGATGAAGGAAGTAAAAGAAGAAAGCACACAGAAAAGGAAAATAGTAAAAAGAAAAAAAGAGAAGGAGATGATGATGATTGAGGGAAAAGTGGGTTTGAACCTGATGTCTTTTGAGGCGGGCGTGACAGCACAACTCCTCAATACCATATTTCTCCTTTTCTGAAAGTTTTCACAAACTTCCTATGCTGACTTTTAATACACAGAAAACTGCCTCTGCTGTTGTCTAATAGGAGGACTTGAGAATTCTTAGACGAAAACTGCAGGGCAAGTGCAGGTTAACACTAGTCCTTTTGAAAGCGGAACATTCTCCACTTCCCTTACTAAGCAGTGTTGGCATCTTCCAAACCATAGATTGGAGAAATGAGTGGATTCAAGGTTCAGTGTCCCAAAATGCATGGTAGCTCTACTACTCTATATAGTCATTGCTTATAATAACTTAGTACATAGTGCCTCAAATCCAAAGGGGGGTTTTAAAAGTCATTTATTTTCTCAAAACTAGAGCCTTCTCTGATAGCCACATCCCAGTTCCTGCCTATTTGAATATCACCAGGATGGCTTACCAGCTCCACACCTAGCCTGTCTACAACTACCTTCCTTAGTTGAGCTCATCTTGACCTTCTATTGTACTCTCTTGATTAATTGTATTAGCAGTGTCTTCACAACCACCCTCAACCCACTCCAATCTCTGGTCCCCACAGTCAGTATCTAAACTATGTCATTTTTAATTCTGAAATATTCCTTCAAAACTCAATTCTATTTTCACCCCTCCTGCCCAAGTTCAAATATCCATCATTTTTGAATTAACACATTTCCAACTGATCTCCCTACATCCTTTCTTTGAAAATCCTTTCACTGCCATACTTCCTAAAACCCAAATATATCATTTCATCCCCCTTGCATCTGAATTAGGCTGAGCATTTTTCATGAACTGTATATTATTTATCCACATTCTACTACCCAGTACCTGACAGTGTCTGGCCTATATGAAGCATTATCAAATATTTACATTTAGCATCATAAATAGGGATAAATTTCTAAGCTCTGTCCTTTTTCCTCAAATCCAAGACCCTCACTTACAGTTAAAAATATCACTGGAAAAAAACAGCAAAATAAAAATGTGGACCCTCATTGCTAGTAAAAATGTAAATTGCTTGGGCTGAGGCTGTGGCTCAGTGGTAGCGCACTTGCCTGGTATGTGTGAAGCATTGGGTTTGATTCTCAGCACCACATATAAATAAAGGTCTATCAACAACTAAAAATATATATTTAAAAAGGAATGTAAAGTGCAGCTGCTATAAAGAACAATTTGGTTGTTCCTTAAAGACCTAAGTGTGAAATTATTTTTTTTATTTTTATTTTTGGTTGTTAATGGACCTATATTTTATTTATCCTTATGCGGTGCTGAGAATCAAACCCAGTGCCTCATACATGCCAGGCAAGTACTCTACTACTGAGCCACAATCCCAGCCCACTAAGTGTGAAATTATTATAATAGAACATTGAAGATCAGACTCTGGAACTAGTCTGGCAGGGTTCAAATCCCAACTGCGATTTTTAGCTGAATGACCTTAAGTACCTTAACTTCTGTGTGCCTCTGTGCCTGAGTAAAATGGAAATAACAATAATATCCTCAGAAGTTACTGTGAGGATGAAATATATTCTTTTGTAAAGTGCTTGGAATCAAGTGCATGGCACATAATAATCACGGAAGCATTTGTAAAATAAAGCTGAAAATAAATGCACATACTAAATAAACAAAATTTATCCAAATGCCATTAGCATTTCCTTTAACATAAAAGTCATCTAAAGCACACAGCGCTGGGGATGCAGCTGTGTGATACAGCTCTTGCCTGGCATTGTAGTAGGTTCAGTCCCCAGAAACACAAAAGTGTATGATGTAAGGAGCTCTTGTAGCCTCACAGAGTTGTGCGACCATCACCATGGTCAATTTTAGAACATGCCATATTGTATCGGTACCTAACAGGGTGAGGACCTCTGGGCTAGGCAACTGCCTGATGGTCAATACGGGGCTGACCATCTGCTTTTTTCAGCAACCACTGACCATACAGATTCTCAGCCTAGATGCTCTCTCCATGTCACTCAAGGTTTGGTTGTTTTTGTTTTTTTATGTTACAACTATCTTTGAAGTTTTCGTCCAAATTCTACCTTCTGCCTGAGCCTTTCTTTAAGGAAGTCCTCAGGCCTGCCCTCCTCCCTAGGGAGGCAGTGTACCTTCACAGACCACAGGCTTTGTAGAAATGATAAAATCAGCTTGTCAAACAGGCATAACAATAAAAAATGCATATTTTCCAAAATATGCAGGACGGCTTTAAAGAAATCTTGAATGATTTTACACACACGTGCACACACACACACACAATATTTTATTACACAAGAATGTGTAGTAAAAGCCCACTGGAATGTAAAACACTTGGAAGTGTTGTAGGTGAGATTTCTAGGTATATCTTCTGATTTTGATAATCAAGGGCCCCAGACCACTTTGCTTCTCTCAATTCAATCCTATTTCCAAATCCCTAGATGGGCCTGCCGCTTCATTAGTGTTGGTGTCATTATTCTGGTTTTGAATACTTGCTGATCTAGACTCTAAAATGCCTCCCAGATCTTCCTACCCAGGCCCCACCAGCTCCCCAAAACTCACCTGCTAAATTATTGACTTGTTTTCTTATGCTTCACTCTATAAATACCTTTACATCAATTACGATTTTCCTGATAAACTTTTATTACCAGAATACAGCCTGCAAGTGCACTAATAGTGAGCTCAAATGTAGCACTCTATTAAATGTCCACACTGGATAGTTGCCATCAGGCACTAGGGTTTCCTCAGGCCAACAAATCACCTCGAGGCTAATAAAACTGTCATTTTTAAAGAGCCCACAAATCTTTATTGCTCTTCAGGTGGGCTCTTTCTGAATGTGTTGTCACGCTCTTATTCCCTTTCCCCATCCTGTTGGTCTCTATAGGAATATACATTGATGTCCTGCGCTCACATGTCCCCCCACCCCGGGCTTCTGCAATCCACACAGACCCATCTTGTTTCAGATGTTCCCTCATTACTCTCTCATACTTGGATTTTTTTCCCCCTTGGTACTAGAGATTGAATCCAGAGGCACTCTACCAGTGGGCTAGACGCCCCAGCCCATTTTATCTTTATTTTGAGACTGGGTCTCACTAAGTTTCCCAGGCTGGTCTCAAATTTGCCATCCTCCTGCCTCTGCCCCCACCCGCCCCCACCCCTTTAACCCCACCAGTCACTGGGACTGCAGGCATGCCCCACCACACCCCACCTCACCCTTGGATTATCCTAGTGATTTTGAAGCAAACCTGTGTCAGTTGTCTTTGTGGGTCACAATGTACTTGTGTGACCTCCCTCCTTCATACAGAGCTGACGACAGGATTGGGCCTTGTTCGTGTCTGTGTGCCCAGTGCCTGGTATAGGGGGCATTCTCAGTAAATACTTATGGATAAAAATGAACCAGTTGTCTCCCTGTCTTAGTCCATTCCGGTTGCTATAACAGAACCCCTTAAACTGCACGGCTTCAGACAACAGTAGCTTCTCCCGTTGCTGAGGCTGGGAGTCGAAGACCATGATGCCTTGGTTCTGGTGTCTGGTGAGGTCCTGCTTCCTTCCTAGACATCTTCTCTCCATGACTTCACAGGGCGGAGGGGACAATGAGCTCCCTTGGGCCCATTTTAGAAGGGGCCCAGTAAGCTCCAAAGAACCACCCCCAATATCATCACCTTGGGGTTCAAGCCATGACACTCCTTATCCTGACCTGCTTCACACTCCATGCATTTCGGCCTCGGTGATATTGAAAACAGTATGCTCGGGGCCCATGGTTCCTTACCGTGTCAAATACAGCCACTTCCACCCTTGTCTCTCCCAAAGCAGTACAGTTAAGTGTTGGGAAACACACTCCGGGGCACAGCGTTTTCTCCAAGATGAAGTGAGTCGTGCTGGGTCCTCAGAGCCAGAGCAACTTCCTCTCCTCAGTCACTGGCCTGAGGGTTTGACCTACTTCTCTCCTGGGCTGCTTCCATCGAGGACACGGCTGTAATGCAGGATGCAGGGTGTCTCGTATCACGTCTAACCCAGCATCCAGTCCCCAGGCACCAATGAACTTAACTGGAATGCTGTACTAGATGCTACTCTTGGGGCAAGGTGCACCACATTGCCTGGGTCTGAGCACTGGTTCTGCCTCCTGTTACCTGTGGACAGCAAATTAACCCAACCCTCTCTGCCTCTCCATCCTCATTTCTTAGATGAGGATGCTAACAATACCCTCTTCAGAGGGTTGTTGTGAAGATCTATAAGTTTTTGCCATTAATCATTGAGTCCAAGCTGGTTTTTAAAAATATTTTTTAGTTGTTGATTGACCTTCATTTTATTTATTTATATGTGCTGCTGAGAATGGAACCCAGTGCCTCACACATGCC